TATAAACTATCAGTTCTATAGTTATACTATATATATATCTAATATATATTATACTTAGAATTGAACATAGTGACAAATAAAACGTTTCTCAAATGTACAAAATAATACGTGTAAACGTATTTAATTTCGGTTAGTTCGCTCTCTTAGAATTATTCTAAGATTATTTTTGTACCTAGAAATTATGACTATTTGGATATATATATATATTAATATTGAGACACCAGAGCCAGTAGTTACATGTCATATTTAAATACGAATTAACTGTATGTATTATATTTACTTCCAAACGCTTTTACGCTTCCTGTTATAAACTCTTCGTATATAAACTAGATACATATGTCGGTATAAGCTTAAGCTAAAACATATACTTGTAATTAACAACCGGATATTACTTGCACGTAACACATAACCCACTTGTAATGTACGTATATGTAAGTAAAACTGTTACTGAATTTTAAGTCTTACTAAATATTAATATATGGATTGTTTTTCGTGTTAATGTATGAATAGTATTAAATATTGGCATTTTTAACTTGAAAGAAATCTGGAATATAAATAAAAGGAATGGAAAATGAAATACACATATGGAAGCTTTCACTTTCTATGTGTCAGTAATAACAAAAGTCAAATATTTTTCCACCAATATAAGATATTGAAAAATCAAAACTTATACTGTTTGAAGACAGAGTCCAATTACATTTTATCAGTATTTAATATATTTTTATAGAGTAATGTTTTATTGAAGAGTTTTAGGTGTTGATTTAATAAACAACTAGGTTTTTACTTTTATGTTATTTGTTTTTTACTGATTATTTAAGTGCTTTATGCTCTGGAAGCGAATGATATTAAACAGTGGTTATGTAAAATCTTCTGTAATAAAAGTACTTGTTCATAGCCAAGTCGATACATTGTACTGCTTGCAGTTGAAAAAGAAAATCTTGCAAGTTGTTTAAATGTATTGGGTAATTATTCTTCTAAAATCAGTTCACCAATTTTTAGTAACACAAGTTACAAGTTGAACGAAATCTGTAAGGTGGAGAATTTGGAAAATCCTGCTTTTATCAGAAGGTTTCTTGAAAACACTGACCCCTATCGTCATAAGGTCAAAGTAGTCTGTCCGTCAGATCTTTATTATTAACATTACAGCTTCTATATGTAAGAAATATCTCTTTAAGTTAGATAACACACCCACTCTTCTTGTTATTGGATAAATTTTATTTTTGAAGAAATGAAAAGCGACATCTGACGGGACTCGAACCCGTGACTTTTTATCGAGTAGTCACCTTATCCATCTCTTTTATTGCGTCTTGAGTAGAAACATTTCATTTTTACTTCACTGGTTGCAGCACTTGAGTTTACTGCAGGAGGGCATACAACCGCTTTGTAACATAGTATATTTAGACCTTCTTCAATTTCGTTAACTTGCTCATCTGAAACTGATATCACGCTTTTGTTACAGCTAGTTCGTAATAATTTTTACCTTTTCATACATTGCCACCCTCTTTTTATATGTGTTAAATTTTCGAATTAGAACTGACTATCAAAAAGCACACGATAAAATAATAATAAACACTAATTTCAGCTGTTTCTGCCACCTAATGTTTCTTGCCTTCATTATGTTCTTATATACTGCCACCTAATGTTTGTTGTCTTCATTATGTTCTTATACACTACCAGAACTAATTTAGAGGCCATGTGGGACTTAAAGAACAGCTTTTCACATCTATTTTGTGATGGAAAGGTAGGGTATGAGAAGGGAGACAGTGTGTTAAGTTTTAGTGAAACTTAGGTCTAAGTTACTATCTGACTAAACTGCCACAATAGTGTTAGTCTATAAAGGAGTTTAGAGAATATTATACATCAAAGACAGTAGTAAGCTCTAACTAAACCATAGAAGTGCTTCAAACGATGGAAGAAAGAATCAGTGTATATTGAGGTTGTTATCTAACACGTTAAGCTCTGTGCCATGGTCTACAATTTTCAACAAAACAAAGATTATCATTGCTATATAAGTAACTATAACGATTGTCTCGTCGATTTTAAAGTTTCAAACTATGTGATGCTTGCCCTTCATAGTGTTTGTAATACTTATCTGTCTGTAAAAATTTTCATCTATCTGACAACTGCTTCTTGTTCATGTAGAACAGGCGTATAGGTATGAGTAGTTAACAGTCAATTTGGTTTATCCAATTGT